AATTGATATATTGCTACTAAGGTGGGGGAAATTGATAATTTCAAAATTAAAATCGTCTCATTTTTTTAATAAGTGGATCTCTTTATGAAAGAAAATGGAATTGGAATTCCAATAGTTGGGGGAGATTTCAATGAAACATTAAAAAATATTGACAGAATTAGTGCAAACAACAATCACTAAAACAAGCAACCAGTATCAAGCTTGAAATCGTTATTAAAAGAAAATAATCTTACTGATATTTGGCGAGTTATGAATGAAAATGTACAACAGTTTACTTGAAGGAGAAAAGATAAATCTCAGGCGAGTAGAATAGATCTAATACTTATTGGTAGCAATTTTAGACCTCAGATAGATACATGCAAAATTAAACCGGCAACGATTCAGTATACTGATCATCTGAGTGTTTGTTTAATATTTAAAACGGGGGCATCGGAAAAAGGGCGTGGATTTTGGAAACTAAATAATTCTGTCTTAAAAAATAAAGATTATCAAAGTTTAATTAACAATTTGATTACTAACTTTTTAAATCAATACCACAATAGAGAAACAGACTGTCGGATTTTCCGGTATATATTAAAACTTAAAATTAAAGAAGGTACTTTAAAATATTGTAAATCAAAAGCTAAAACCAAAAGAGAAGTCACACGCACCTTAGAAAAAGAATTACAAGAAACGATGTTTAAAAGAGACCAATTAAATTTGTGTAACTCTAGTTTGAATGATCGTATTAAAAATTTGGAATCAGAACTGAATAACATTTATGACGAGAAAGCCATTGGTGCACAAATCAGAGCCAGAGAAAAATGGGTTGAATTTGGAGAAAAAAATAACGCGTAATTTTTGGAACTTGAAAAGCAAAGACAAATTAAGAAATCGATAAATAAATAATTAGATGAAACAAACAATGTTTTAAAAGATCAAAGCAAAATATTACTTGAAATTAAAAACTATTATGAAAATTATTTTCATCACAAAATCCGAATGATACATAATCTCAAGAATACATTAAAAATACAAAATTAGAAAAAAAATTAAATGATGAAGAAAAACTATTGTGTGATGGTTCAGTTACGCTTGAAGAATGTTCCGAAGCAGTACAAAACATGAAATTGAATAAGTCTCTTGGTCTTGACGGTCTACCAGTAGAATTTTACAAAATGTTTTGGGAGCAGCTTAAATATATACTTGTTAAAGTATATAATAAGGGTCATGAAGATAGTTTATTGACTTACTCGCAACGGTCTAGTGTTTTGTCGTTAATATTTAAAAAGGGGGACCCATTAAAATTAGAAAATTATAGATCAATTTCATTATTAAACGTAGATCTTAAAATTCTTTTCCATGTACTAGCTCAACGACTTAAAAAAGTTCTACCAAAACTCATGAACACAGATCAATCTGGATACATAAAAAATAGATTTATTGGATTCAATTTAAGACAAATACAAGATATTATAGATTATGCAGATATATATAATATAGAAGGGGCTATTGTTTTTGTCGATTTTCAAAAAGCCTTTGACACTCTTGAATGGAAATGTATGTTAGATACTTTATATCACTTTGGATTCAAAGAATCATTCATAAATTCGGTTAAATCTTTGTATAATGATATTCAAACATGTATTATTAATAATGGGTGGATTTCAGAAATGTTTTAAAATTCAAGAGGGATTAGGCAAGGGTGTACTTTATCTGCTCTACTTTTTGTCATATCCGTTGACATATTGGCACTGAGACTTCGAAATAACAAAGATATAAAAGGAGTTTAGATAAAATTTGATAGGAAAACACATTGTATTAATATAAGTCAATTAGCTGAAGACACAACCTTATTTTTTAATGATAAAAATGATATCGAACTAGCATTGAATGAAATTGAAATCTTTGGATCTTATTCGGGATTAATTATAAATAAAAATAAAACAGAAGGGATATGGATAGGAAAACTCAAAAACAGTCAAGACAAGATAGCAAATATTAACTGGACAGATAAACCTGTAAAAGCTCTAGGAATTTATTTTGGACGTGATAATGAAGAATGTAAGAAATTATATTTTTAAAATTAAAAAGAGAAAATGGACAAATTGTTTTTTCTTTGGAAAAAGCGAAATCTCACTATGTTCGGACAAATTTTGATCATCAAATCTTTGATTATACCACTCTTCACCTTTTTAGCTAGCTCATGTGTATTTCCAGAAAAATATAAAAAAAGAAATAGAAAGAAAATGTTTTAAATTTATCTGGAATGACAAACCAGATAAAGTTAATAGAAATACGATGATTGGTAGTTATGAAAACGGGGGTTTGAATTTGATTGTATTGAAAGTCAATTTGAATCACTAAAAGCATCATGGATAGGTAGAATCTTAAATAAAGATATTGTTAGATGACAACTTATACCTTTAAAATATTTACAAGGCTTAGGAAAAAAATTGCCCAGTAGTTTGTATGAATATGGATTATAATAAAGTTGATCAATATTTACCAAATATTCCAAAATTTTTTAAAAATGTATTAAAAAGCTGGATGAAAGTAGGAGGAGGACAGACAGACAAACCAAAAACCTTTTACGAAATTAGAAAACAAATTATTTGGGGAAAATAAATACATTAAATTTGATAACAAAAGTCTATGTTTCAAAAATTGGATAAACGGTTATTTGATTTATATAAACGATATTTTAGATGAAAATGGGGAAATTTCAAAAGATGTAAAATTGCAAAAAAATAGAAAATAAAACCAACTGGATAGCTGAGTTAAAAATCCTTAAAAACGCAACTCCAAAAGATTGTGTGGTCAATGTCTTAGATCAGAGACTTCCACGAGAAGTAGAGTCAACGTAAAAAGACAATATTTGTCAATAAGTGGTAATTATATTTGACATTTCTTTTTTGTCAAATAAGTTATTATATAACAGATTAGTAAAGAAAAAAGTTGTGAAGCCGATTGGTATAAATGTATGGTTAAATGTATTACCATTACAAACAGAATTTCATTTGAAATCATTGTACAGCTTTATTTTTTACTATTTAGAAGAAAATAAATTGAAGATGTATCGATGGAAACTTTTACAAAGTATATTACCTACTAAAAAGTTATTGTTTAGATGGAAGGTAACAGACAATGATTTATGTAACAAATGCTTTACAGAAGAAGATTATCATCATTATTTCATATCATGTTCCTTTTTAAACAATTTTTGGAGAAAAATTCATAATTTATTGCAAAAAGTAAATATAGAAAAAGCTATCACATTAAAAGATCTTTTTTTTTTTTGGCTATAAAATATCAGATAAATATTACTTTAGCTTGAACTATATTATAACTTTTATTGGATATTCAATTTATAAATTCTACTGTGTCTGATCAGAAAATGAAGGGACTTGATGTATTTTGTCTATTCATTAGAGAATTTACAAAACTAATGTGTTATACAAAAAAGTTAGAAGAAGTTAGATTCTTAGTTAATGTAAAAAAAACATTTATTAGGTTGATATTTGATATATTATTAATATAATAGAATTGTAAATTATACTTATTCTTTACAAGGAGCTTGGATTTGTTGAAGACAATGTAACATGCAATTGATGGGAAAAAAAAAAAATTAAAAAAAGAAAAAAAATTGTCTCGTTTGTCATAGATTTTGGTACTGAGATGACCGCTTATGTCAAATTCGAGGTATAAGTCTAAAATTGAGGCAGAGGAATCCGTGACTGTTGTTTCTTTCATTTCTAGTTCTGGGGAATATATTAATGGATCCCAATCAGAAAAATTTGGATTGTTAATGGAAGAACATCATCAATATATCTGAATGTGAGATTAAATGATCTGGCGTCTTTGATCTTCTTGTTTTTGACAGGTGTCTGAAGGAACTCTGACTCATATAAAAATAAAAAGAGGTCGGCAAGGAGAGGCGCACAGTTTGTTCCCATAAGTGATAAAAATAATTTTACACACCCTATCATTACAGCAGGTACAATAGGATCAGTGTTCCTTATTGCCATTAAAGGTGTTTTTACATCTGTGAATACGTACGATTTCAAGACTGCTGACAACTCTACAGATAAAACTTGAAAGAGTTATTTTAAAGTCATATGATACTTCGAATTTCACAAAAAAAAGTTGAATATGTTAAAACACTAAAAAGTTTTACTATAAAACACTTGTTCATAAACATTTTTTTTTAAAGAACATTCTTCATTTTATCCAAATGTTCAAAAATGTACTGCTATTGAATATTGTCTTCTCGCACTCTAATGTGCCGATAATTATTTCGTATGCAGTGACTTTAATGATGACATCTCTCGTCGCAAATGCTAACTGAAAACCGTAATGAAAGATAATGCACATGATGTATTAAAGATAAGCTAAAGAAGAATTAACAATAAATTCTGAAAGAAAAAATTGATTATGCCAAATCATTAGATAACTGTTTTGGTAAATTCTAACCGACTTATTGGAACGCATGAACAGTATAATAAAATTAAAAACAAATGAACATCGCTGTAACTTCTCACTTATTTTTTTCAAATACTCCATGAGTATGTGTTGATTGTTTATCAAGGTCACAATCTGTAAACTTCGGCACAAAAACCCGAAAAGCAGCAAAAGTTTTCGATCATGTATCAATGAATGAAATATTGTTGTCGCATTTATGTTACGGATTCGTTAAAGATATAAAAATATTCACAGAGAATACAGAGGATTTATTTATTCTGACTAAATTTAAATATTTATGCAACGATACTAACGAAATATCATTATTGGATTACGGATATTGCAAACTCACGTGTTCTTGGTTTTGTTTTGTGTATTTGCCAACATATATCAGAGCGAATTGTGTGTCTTTTAGATTAATACTTTGGAATTTTTTTTTTCAAACATGATATCAGAATGCATTGAAAATACAAAATAACTATTGGTATATATAAATAGTGTAAGGATTTATATTAAAAATTCAGACCAAATCAGCCTTGTTTTTTTTTTGTATTTTTCAGGAAAGCCTAGATCAACAAATTACAGACATGAAAAAAACCGATGGAGACATGTTATCAGTCTATTTTTTTTTTTTTATATTTTTAATCTCCCCCCTTTTTTCAAAGTTTTCAAATTATTATTATGATATATCTTTGTGCACATAAACGCAAACAGTTTGACTGATTTTTTAAACACTGATTTTCATTGATGAATGTTTTCCGATTATCCATACATGGGTATATTCCACATTTAATACCTAATTTGTGTAATAACATCAATAATTTCCAATTAAGATTATAACTCTTATTTTTATCAATCACATATACAAATTTCAATGTTAAATCAACACATTGTAGTCAGTGAACCGAATATACGATAATCATTATGTATTACGATGATGCTGATCATAGATACCACCAGACGTAATATTGTGTACGCCAGACGAGCGTTTCGTCTACAAAAGACAATGCTCAGTAATGATCGAATATATAAAAATATGTAAAAAAAGATCTATTTGCTGACAACTGGGCTGTTGGTATATATGTTAGCAGCAATAAGTGAAATTATGCATTAAGATTAAATCCTAGGCAATAAGCTTAGGCCTAGGCATTACATATATTGCCTAAATGATGTTAGGCATTAATCTTAAATCCTAGGATTTAACCGGAAATCCTGAAAATTATGTCCAGGCATTAATGCTAATGCCTTAAATGAAAATGAGAGTAAATAAAAATAAATGTATTCAAAGTTAAAATACATATGGTACATAATGAAATAAGAAGAACTGAAGTTTGGGTGTCAATTACATGACATAAAATCATAAGTAAAATATTGACGTTAACACTATTTGAATAAACCTCTTAAATATAGTTCCATCTTACTTTGATTGGAAATCGATCAACATGATTAAATCAACCCGTCAGCTACTTAAAACTCTATGGATGAAACGGGTTTTACAACTACTCCCTTCCCTATGGACATTTTATCATGTTACAATTTTCACAAAATTGAAGAAATAGTACAATAGAATCACGGAAAATGTTTGCAAAGCTATTTTGAGGTTGTTTACTACTACGCTCTATAATAATAATAATCTACTTTGACATATTTTTATGTGTTTTTTCCCTAAATACCATACAGTTCTTCTAGAAAAACATATACTTTGGAATTTCCCTAATCATTCTATTTAAGAAATAATTCATGGAAGCCATAGATTTGTAGGAAATTAACACGGCCCAGGCCATGTGTAAATTTACAACAAGTCTATGGCTTCCATGAATTGTTTCGATTCTAATAGGACATATACGGTCATTTAAAAACTGAAGCGATGGTGGGTATGGCGTATGTGTGGCTGTGCTATGTTACCCCCTATTTGATAAAGTTAAAAAATTCTAATAAATCTATAGCTTATATGCATTATTTCCTAAATAACTGCTAGAAAAAATGTGTTTAATTCTTTTACTTTTCAACGTAAACATTTGCCATTTCTAATTTACATTTATTTTCTCGTAAGCTATCGTCAAATCCACAGTTGACATTTCGTAACTAAGGTGCCGTCGTGTTGACTTACTAAAATCAGTAAATGTGCGAATAATGCAACAGAATAGAAAATAAAACACTACCTACCTCAAAACTCCATTTAATGCAATATTATCTGAATTTGGAGGGTAAACACAACGGAAAAACCTTTAGCTTTGGCGTTTTCATTCGTATGACGTCATGTTTTGAAATCACTTTAATGCGCCAAAAACAAAAATGAAATTTCGCGGAATTTTATTTTATTTTGATTTTGTACATTTTTCCGAGCTGTAATGCATTATTTGTTTTTGTTAAGCATCATAATACGAATTAAGGTTCTGTAGTAATTTTTTTAATTGCAATGTTTTACACAGCGAAATCGACATAGCGTTTGCACATAGGTGACGATACATGTGGATTTACGTGGGAGGCATATTGTAACAGCCATTTTTATTGACTTCTCTGAGTCTGCGCTAAGTATTGATATATAGAGATTTTATCACGGTGTTGTTTACAAAGCAAAAGAAGCACGTCATACTAGAATATACTTTAGTTACAATAAAGTCTTTCAAACATCCTTTGGTAAAATGTCATACCATTTCAAATTTTAATAGTCTATAGCTGCATTATTTTCTGATTTCGAAAGTTCAATCTTTGCAAAATACTAGTTATCATTGTACTTTTGCATTATGTTTATGATCTTTTTTTTTTCGCTGACTTAAATTTATATTCCGCAAAGATTCAAGAAATTTGCAGTTGCTATTATACGTTCAGGTATTTCACATCCAATCTTTTATTGTAATATTCTTTACAAAGCACAAAAAAGTCGGCATTCACCTCAAAAGCTAACCAAACCTTTAAACAGACTTATTCAGAAGGGATATAGTTACGATACTGTTGTCAGGTCATTGAAGATGGCATATTTTTGTCCTATATTCTCTGTCCTATATGTTCTCCCAATTTTTTGTATTGTAGTCCTGTCATGTAATGTTGTCATTTTAATGTTATATTTAACATTGTCATAAAAGCGGGAGGTTTGGCTAGCCACAAAACCAGGTTCAACCCACCATTTTTTTCTTAAAATGTCCTGTACCAAGTCAGGAAAATGGCCATTGTTATATTATAGTTCGTTTCTGTGTGTTTTACATTTTTATGTTGTGTTTCTGTTGTGTCGTAGTTCTCTTCTTATATTTGATGTGTTTCCCTCAGTTTTAGTTTGTAACCCGGATTTGTTTTTTTCTCAATCGATTTATGAATTTCGAACAGCGGTATACTACTGTTGCCTTTATTTGGTATTAATATTGATTCACTCATAGGGTCTTTACATCGGAAATAACACATTTGTTCTAAAACCAGTTGTTGGCATGATACGGGTTATGTTCTTCTCATATATTTTATGATGGTATGATACTAAACCCCTAACGGGAGGGATTGTGCTTGATTTTCATATGATGAAGACATAATCTATCAATCAGTTTAATTGAAGTCTGGAGCTAGCATGTCAGTAACTGCTAGTAGTCCTTTGTTAATGTGTGTATCATTGTCATTTTGCTTAGTTTCTTTTGTTACCTATTCTGACATCGGACTCTGACTTCTTTTAAATTGAGTTTTACTGTGCGTATTGATGTGTGTTTGTTTATTCTACATTGACTAGAGGTATAGAGGGAGGGTTGAGATCTCACAAAACATGTTTAAACCCGCCGCATTGTTGCGCCTGTCCCAAGTAAAGAGCCTCTGGCCTTTATTAGTCTTGTACGTTTTTTTAATTTTAGTTCATTTATATGTTTTGGAGTTTAGTATGAAGTCCATTTTTACTGAACTAGTGAACTGCCTCCGGGTGCAGGATTTTCTCGCTGTGTTGAAGACTCGTTAGTGGCCTTCGGCTTTTTTCTGCTCTTTGGTCTGGTTGTTGTGTCTTTGACATATTCCCCATTTCCATTCTCAATTTTATTAATCAAGATTAAGAAGTGAAAAGATAAGAAGGGTATTTAAGAAATATCTTCATATCCAATAAAACAGATTGAAAGATGATATGACTGGCAAAATTTCATATCTAAAGTTGACTAATTTTGACCAGCTCAAACCGGCTCGACCACTGAAGAGTAATACAAAAAAAAAATTAGTTCTGTTATGAATACAAAAAATAATGAAAATTTAAGATGTTTTTAAAAAGGTTTATACTAATTTTTGGAATATAATTTTAAAAATATTATGCATCAAGAATATTTCACCGACTGCACAGGTATTTTGAAGATAAACAAAAATCACAACGTTAACTTATTGCTTGATATGATGATTGGCAATAGGTTGAATAATCATCATCAAATTTCAGGAAATAAGCTTAATGCCTGAAAATTTCAGGCAATAACTTAATGCCTAGACGTTAGCTTATTGCCTTGGATTTCACCTTAATGCATAATTTCTTATTGCCGCTAACATATATAAAGTGCATTATACTTATTGATAGTAAAAGAATTTAGGCCCTAATATAATGATATTTTATAAGGATTTTTTTTTTCCAAATTATTTTCATGGTAGTTATATTGATTTGTTCCTGATATAATTTGCTTCTATAGATTTATAATTTCGTAAGACGAACTATCAGTAGTTGTCGAGTGTTGCTATATATATATATATATATATATATATATATATATTAATCTGTCGTAGCGTTGTCACTTGTTTAGACGTACTTAATAATTATTTCTGTGACTGTATCTAACGATCCTTTACGATAGATAATTTAGCTAATCTTCAATCAATTCCATCTTCTTGCCTAATATATCATGTACTATGTTACAACTCTAGATTCTACTGACGAGGAAAGGTAACACTAGGCCACCGAAACCTGAATTTTTAAGTCCGTCTAGGTGGTCGAGTGGTATAGAGCGCTGGACACAGTGCAGGCGGTGTTATCTCGATATCCCAATAACGTTGAGTTCGAATCCCGGCAAGGGAAGAACAAAAATTTGCTTCCGCAAATTTGCAGATTTAACATTGTTGTGCTGATATTTAGAGTCCTTATGTATAGCTTACTGTATACGTATTTCTATTGAAGACCGAAAATTTACCTATAGTTGCTTATATTTTAATTATTTAGTCCCTGGTCAATGTTTGTCTGATTAGCTACCATACCACATTTTCTAATTTTTATATTTGGTTCCTTGTATAATTTTTATCATATTAATTTTTTTTTCAAATAAAACAAAATAAGTCTCAAGCATTAGTTTTATTTCTATATTTTCCAAGGGTAAATGTTTACCCATCTTATTTGATATGCATGGATAAAACCAAATTATATATGTAGTATGTTTCGACTAAAAAACATCAAAAACTACAATTATGTGTGTCATTGGGCTTTGCTTAAACTCTATATATTATTCTGTACTGAGTCGTTTAGAATGTTTTGTAATATATAATCGCAAAATATGTGTATTCTCTCAATTACATTTTGTATCGATAATTATATACCAATTGTTCACCTATTTCATGTTTGAACTTTTATTATTCCAAATGTTACACAGATCCTTTGACCTTTTGGGGGATTTAAAGATAAATTTATAATGACGGCATAAATTAAATATTTTACTTTCTATAAATTATTGAAGAATAAAATAAAAACTGGCCACCACATCATATCCAAAAGTAGAGTCAATCAATCAATCAATCATGCTATTTTTAGTCCAATTTAATACTTGTTTTTTAAAAAGAAAGAGTGAAACAACATGTAATTTGCAATGTTACAATGTCTCTTCTAACTTTATCTGGTTAGTTATTCATATTAAAAAAAGAAGCTTTTTAATGTCGGTCATGCGTTTAATATATGTATTATTCGGATTAGATATAGATGAGAATAAATGATTTGATTTGATTTTATAAATGATTTGATCATTGCCATTTTCCCAATTGGAAATGACGATTTTATTTGCACAACATACAGCTGTTTTATTTTGAAAATGCCCCACCCAAAAGCTGTAACCGCAATCCCTTGACGGTTTCTTCGGCCGAGGTTTACAAAAGATTTTTTTTTACAGTTAAATGGTGGGAAAATGATTGAATATGAAAATAAATGTCATGCATTCAAAACAAATTTTTATAGCAGTATTATAAGGTGAATACAACCAGATGAACCAGATCAGACTGGATGTGTGATACCAGATACTGCCTTTTTAGTGGCAATTTGTGGCTTATTCAGATTGATGGATGTCACATAGCCTGTAGTTTTGTTAGGATTTGACATTTCAGTTAAGGATTGGTCCTCCTGTTCAGATTATATATTTTTTCAAACCAAATCAACTGAGTATCAGAATTTCTTGAGAGAGGAAAAACAATTCACAGAAATGTCATAAGTCGAAGAGAAACTGACAGACGCGCGTTTCGTCTACAAAAGACACATGTGTGAAGCTCGGATTAAAAACACCAAAAGTTGAAGTCAAAATAAAGTACGAAGTTGAAGAGTAATTTGGGACAAAAACTCCGAAAAGTTCTGCCAAATACAGCTAAGATAATATATTCTGGGTGCAGAGTATCATAAGTACACAATTCAAAGTTTTGTAAACAGTTAATTTATTAATATGACAATACCAATGATAATCCATGTCAGGTTTGATATAGATTCGATATGTCCTGTCGTAATTTGTAAACGACGAAAGATGGATGTGGGGCCAAAATCACACTAGGATCTCTAGTCAGGTGATCTGAGAAATCATATAAAGTAGCAATACATTTCGTTGAAATTTCTTTACCTTAAATTTTTAAACAATTTTAGCAAAACACGAAGAAATGATTGGGATTCTAATAAGTATGTAATCTGTCAATATAAAACATCCAAACACTCTAGTTTAACTTTATCCAATCATATAGCTAAACATAATTACATCAAATGATCTTATTAATTACAGTTACGGTGATATCGATGAAACTTCTTACTAAATAATAAAATCTTCAATAATATTAGTAAAATAAGTTACATATCCACAAGATAACTAAAAAATGGCGCGGTAGAAACGATAGCAATATTCAAAACGAATATGTCGAAGACAAAATTACAAAATCATGTCAAAAACAATAAACGAAGGAAGGACAACAACGTTCTAAAAAAAACTTACATAAAAAAACTATGTTGAGCAACACAAACCCATAGACAAGCGAGGATGATCACAGGTTCTCCGGAAAGATAATATTTAGTTTTACATAGGGGTCTTGTCGTGTAGCTCATGGTAGGTACAAGTCTAAATCATTGTTGAAGGCTGTATGGTGACTTTTAGTTGCTAACTTCTATGTCCTTTGGTTTCTGGTGAAGAGTGTCTCATTGGCATCATCTTATTGAAGAGTTATCCCATTTTTTGGAGTCACAATAACAAAAAAGGAGGACGGTATTTTCGTTACTACAATTGGAACATGTCAGTAGTCATCTACACAGATATTACATTAACGGTCAACCAACTCATGATGTTGTCTGTAAAATTTTCGAACGAATGACTTCACTTTGCCACTTGGAACCCATGGATCAATAGCTTTATTGTAAACAGTCTATCAATGAAATCACGATTGGAAACGCAAGCTCTTGGATATAATATATCAACTGGGAGATATATACTACTTATGCAGGCGCTGTTGGGAATTTACTACATAAAGATGGAAATTTAACAATTAGGAATCTAAAACCATCATTTTTGTTTTAAAGTTTGTTTTCAGCCAAACGTCATCATCTATTTCTAGATATAAGTTAATATATAAGGCAGATTTTATGTTTCAGTGGTTACCTTTATTTTAAGTACCACGGAATATATGCGTTCAAAATATTCACCTATTATTTTAATAATTTTGCATAAATTGGTTAGAGGACATCCTCTATGTAACGGAACGTAATTGCTAGCTTCTTTTCATTTTTCCTGGGATGCTTCTGTGTGAAGTCTGTATCATAGAAACATAGAATAAGTCGCCTAGAAGAAAACACAGTTTTTTTCTCTTTGTAATCACTATTGTTTGTTGAAAAACACTTTTTCCAAACAATATTTTGTCAAACATTATAATGATGTCAGTTTCATAGAAATTTATTTCTTTTATTTGAATCAGAATTGTTTTATTCTTACTAAAAATGATTGCTCCCTTCTAAAAACAACAAATGTTGTAGTACTTTTTTTCTAATGAACAAAGTTGGATTAATTCTGTCTATCTGTCTTAAAGTTTAGGATACTAGTGTAAAGGATGAAAAGAAGAACTACTGTAGATTATCGATGTTCAAATATCATAAATCGATTAAAAAGTCAAATCAAGGTAACAAACAAAACTGTAGGAATAGCATGAAATTTCAAAAGGAGCGATGCCGGTTGCACAGACAGAATACGTATCTCCTTGTATATATAAAAAAGAAGATGTGGTATGATTGCCAATGTGACAACTCTCCGCCAGAGACCAAAATGACACAAAAATTAACAACTATAGTTCACCATACGGCCTTCAACAATGTGCTAAGCCCATACCGCATAGTCAGCTATAAAAGGCCCCGAAATGACAAATGTAAAACGATTCTAACCAGAAAACCGAAATAGGACACAATCGGTAAAAATACTGATTAGACGACTGTTCTGGCTAGCGTTTCACAAAGATTTTACCTACGAGTGTTTCACAAAGGTGATTGTAAACGTAACGTAAACGTAACGTAAACTTACGATTACAATGAAAAATGGGTGCTTTCTTTGACAGCCGCGTTCATGTCTAAAAAAAGAATCGTTCTTTCAAAACCAGGAACAAAATTCATATCATCGTAGTTTGAAATGGTTTGTTTGTATGGTAAATAGGTTTTGTGAGGTAAACATGGTAAGTATCCCGTCTAGTTTAAAGATGTTTTTTTGGCTTTGGTTTTATTAGAAAAAAATGGCTGGTGGTGTTTTTTTTTCAAGCCGAGCGTCTGTTTTTGCTATTGTTAAAGAACGATGAAGTCATAAAAAAACAGACAAATTCATTAGGACTTCGACATTTCTTGAATCCAAATCAATATGAATTTCTAAATGGTTAACACGAAATTATACGTATCTTCAAATGTTTAATAATAAATGAACTGGTATAAAATTTGTTAAGCCTTGTGATTCTGATGCATGTCTAGGCTTTTTTAAAAGAGGAACCTACTGACAAGACAACATTAAGACTTGTACATGTAAAAAGTATCTGCATATTTTCATTTCATCTATTCTAATGTTATGCATTTGCTACTGTGTCATCCAAAAATATGGTCATCAGAAAAACAAAAAAAATTAAAGCATAAGGGACTTATCATTTTTTACCTGGGATGTGGGGGAGGGGGGGGGGGGGGGTGGTGGCTAGTCATTTTGAAATCAAACATGTAAAATTTTCTTGATCCCCCATAATATTTCACTATTTATTTTGATCCCCCCTTACACAGATTTCCCCAAAAATGTGATCCCCCTCTATTTAAGATGCAAAAATTTTAACATTCAAAACACTTAAGTTTCATGCTATTTTTATGAAAATATTTCAAACATGAAATATTTTCAGTGGATTGAGTCCCAAAAACATATTAGAGGGAAAATTGCCTAGAAGTAGGGCTCTTCCATAAAATTTGATAAATGAGCAAGCCATACTCAGTGTTTGGTAAAGCATTTTTTATTTATTTATATTATTTCCTATATTGTTCTATAAAAGAAACATTGTTCCAAAGTAATTCTGTAAAAAAAATATACATTAAAAAGTAAACGTTTTTTGAAACAGTAACAACACATTATTTACTAAAAGGATCTATCATATGTTCCTCTCTTGAACTCTGAGTAAACACAAGATATAGGTTAGGCCTTATTGAAACCTCCAATGACCATGGAGTCGATAAACTTTTATAACGGATAGTTAACACAGCTTGAACATTTCAATTACTCATTTATTGTCACATATCTAACATATACATAATGTGTGATAGTAACCCCAAAATTTTGATTTATTAACCTAAAAAGTAAAAATTTGGAGGCATTAGAGGTATAAATGGACCAATAGGGATCTTATATGAAAACAAAGAGGTACATTAGTGGTTTTTATCATCTTAGAAACCTCTGCGTTGGATTATTTTAAAACGGAAGCAGTTGAGATGGTGAAGAATTTTTACAATAAAAAAATCAATCTTCCATGCAAAATTTCAATGCGCTTGAAAAATCAGATGAAAATCAAAATCAAGCAGAATTAGACACTTATGAAGCTCTTGAAATGCAAGGTACAGGAGATGAGGAAATTAAATCTTCAGATAAGTCTGATTTGTTTGACTCTATAACTGTTAAGAGAGGGTTTACATAGGCTATGCCTGTTGCTCAATCCAATTCAATTTATTTGAAGAAAATACTATTTAAACTAAATAAATGTTAAGCTTTTAGGTCCTGAGGGTTATGTTAATGTGTGATCAGTCAGAGGCGGATCCAGCCATTTATAAAAAGTGTGTGGGGGGTCCTAACCCAGGCTAAAGGGGGGTTCCAACTATATGTCCTCATTCAAAAGCATTGATCGTCAGAAATAAGGGGGGTTCCAACCCCCCAGAACCCTCCCCTGGATCCTGCACTGTCAGTCAACTTGATTTTTTTAGTTACATATACAGAACATAAATTTGGTAAATGGTGGTAAAACTTTCTTTACTTAAAATATATTTTGAACCCCCTTGAAATATGTAAACTACTTATTTATGATCCAAAAAAATGATCCCCCCACTTTAAATTTATAAAAAAAAATTGAACCCCCTTTTCCACTTACAGAGAAAACTTGATCCCCCTACATTTTGACCAGTCCCTCCCCCTCCCAGGTAAAAAAATGATAAGTCCCTAAATGTCTACGTATTTTTTATTAATTTGTTTTGTATCTGGGGGTTGTAGTTTTC